TCTTGAGAGTCGACAGCAACAGATTCCAAATGCAAATAGCACACTTGAAATGAAGTCTGGACCTTTTATCTGCTCATTGAAATTGGGATAATGAGGAAATAACACACATCTGGCCATGGAACGGCTGAGAAGCCAATTGTCCCATTACTTTTGGCCCCTTAATAAGTGGGAGGCACATATGCAAACTGTTGTAATTCCTACACCGTTCACCTGATTTGGATGTAAATACCCTCAAATTAAATCTGACAGTCTTCAGTTAAAGCACATCTTGTTTGTTTCATTTCAAATCCATTGTGGTGGTGTATAGAGCCAAAAATGTTAGAATTATGTCGATGTCCCAATATTTATGGACCTGACTGTAGCTCCGTATCTCACTTTAACATATGGTCACAAGTGATTTTTCACTTTAGGGGCAGATAACATTTTTCACATCACATTATTCTAAATTCATCATTTTTTGTTGGGTACACTTTATGGTTGAGTAGTAATATATTATTCTGTCTCACGGAGGATACACTGTTTTGTAAGATAGTATATTGGTTTTACATGCAAAGAGAAGGCACTTAGTGTTTCTACTAAATAAAAAGATGAACTGTGTTGTCTGTGAAGGTTCTCGTGTATCCTGGTCATGGTGTATCTAATGGTAGTTGTTCACATTCAGCTGGACTATAATGATGAAGACATATTGCTTCTTATTTAGGCAGCGGTGGTGGCCTTGGATATCATATCTCACCCACATTTTTGATGTTTTACCCCAGAAATTTAACAATTCAAAGCTTCAGTCATTTAGCTCAAACAGTTAAAACTTGCCCCTGATTTCAGGACACCATGGGTTTGGATGATGAAAATAGAACAAGATGGTTTCACAGACATTCACAACTCCCATCATGCTCTTGTACAATCATCATCTGCCCTAACACCTTCCATGGTGATCGGATGAAGGTGACTGAGATATCTGTGTGGATAGAAATACTGGAGGATGTTCCTGACACTCAGTACTGAAGTGTCAAAGTCATTAGAATGGAAATGTCAAAGGAAGTTAGAGGAAATGTCAAAGGAAGTTAGAGGAAATGTCACAGGAAGTTAGAGGAAATGTCAAAGGAAGTTAGAGGAAATGTCACAGGAAGTTAGAGGAAATGTCAAAGGAAGTTCAAGGAAATGTCACAGGAAGTTAGAGGAAATGTCAAAGGAAGTTAAAGGAAATGTCAAAGGAAGTTAAAGGAAATGTCACAGGAAGTTAAAGGAAATGTCAAAGGAAGTTAAAGGAAATGTCAAAGGAAGTTAAAGGAAATGTCAAAGGAAGTTAGAGGAAATGTCAAAGGAAGTTAAAGGAAATGTCAAAGGAAGTTAAAGGAAATGTCAAAGGAAGTTAGAAGAAATGTCAAAGTGTCATTAGAATGGAAATGTCAAAGGAAGTTAGAGGAAATGTCAAAGGAAGTTCAAGGAAATGTCACAGGAAGTTAGAGGAAATGTCAAAGGAAGTTAGAAGAAATGTCAAAGTGTCATTAGAATGGAAGTGTCAAAGGAAGTTAGATGTTTACCTGGTGCTACTGTTAGGAGAGATAAAAGGCGTATTTAACCCCTTCGCGCCTAAGGGTAAAACAAATCTAAATGCCTAAGCACAATTCTGCAACGTTGACATGTTAGTAAAACCGTACATATCGTCTACTACTTTGTACATCCAGGTGGATTATACCTTGTTTTTTTCAGGACAAATTGGGCTTTCATTTGGTAGTAAATGGTCATGGATAGCTCCTAATTTTTTTTTTTATTATTAAAGGAAAACTGGGCCAAAATAGTAAAAAAAAAAATCATTTTTTTAAATTTAACTGTGTGTTTCTTGTTACGACCATAACCTACCACCAAAGAACAACCCAAAATACATTCTCCAGTTCTTGACGATCGCAGCGATACCATATATGTGTATGTTATTTGTTGTTTGTACCCGTAGTACAGCCCAGAAACAACAGTGCGCATTTTGTTTTTGTCTTTTTTTTTATTTTATTTTTTTTTACATAAAACACACTGTCACTGACATTGACATTAACACTAACTGACACTGATACCAATTTTTTTTTAATCCTGATCTTTGACCCTGACCTTTGCCCTTGACCCTGACCTTTGACCCTGACCTTGACCCAAACACTAACCTTGGTACTGAACTAGATCAAACCTTGATCTAGGTATTTTTCTTTATTTTTTAATATTTATTTATCTTTTTTTTTTTTTTTTTTTTTTTTACAAACTTTTTTTTTCTCTCTCTATGTCAGGAGTTCGAGAGATACAATGTATCTCTCTTCTCCATTCATAGAGAGAGAGAAAACAAGGGGGCCGGGCTGCACAGTGATTGATCACTGTGATAGCCAATCAGAGGCTATCACAGCGATCACGTGACCCGGAATCGGGAGTCCCGGGTCCCGATCGTTAGAACGGGACCCGGGGCTCTCAGTGATACCGTGGTCTTGGTGCTGGGAGCGCGCCGAGCGGCGCGCTCCCAGCACAAAGACAGGTACGCAAATATGCGGCCCCACGGAAAAAAGCCCAGGTCCGTGAGGCCGCATATTTGTGTTACGTCGGCGTCAAGGGGTTAAAAATTATCAAAAAAGCTGGTGAAGAGTGCAATGTTGATGTTTTGTTCACCTTGGCACAAATGTTTTGTCCCAGAATGATGTGTGTTCTGTACAGAAGGACTTTCAGTATTTGGGACAGGATCTTCAACAGTTCGGCTGTACAGTTACATTTTTGGAGGTCTTTCCTGTGCATAATGGACAACAAGAGGAAGTACTTGGTATAGCAGAGTCCAATGTTTGTTGAAAGGTTATGATAACTTGTTAATTGATGAGATAACTCAAACGGCAATGAAGGGGGAGGTTTTGATTATGGGTGACGTCACCATGCCTGACATTAACTGGAATTCTCCGATTCTTACAGGGATGCAATGGAAGCACTGAATGGGCTTTCTGTAAAGCAGGTAGTAAAAAGTCCAACCCGAGGCAATCAAATGAGGATCGACTGTCTAATGTTGAGATGGGAGAAAATTTGGGTTCTAGTGATCACCAATGTTTTTGGTTTGATATTAAAATAAGAACTGAAAAATCATACACAAAAACAAAAAAGGTTTAGATTTCAAAAAAGATGAATTTTGCTGAAATGGGTGAATTTCTGAAACATGAGTTGTAAGGTTGGAGAAAAATGAGTTAGTAATCCGTGGGCACTGTTAGAGTCTACCATCCTGGAGGCAACTAGATTACATGTCAGGCAAGTTAGTGGGATTAAACAGAAGAATAATCCAATATGGTTCACTAAAGAGATAAGTAGGCTAGTAAAGGAAAACATATCAGCATATAGGAGATTCAAGGAAACAGGAGGCGGAGCCGACAGAGAAGAGTATAAGAATAGACAAAAGGAGGCCAAACACATTATCAGCGCTGCCAAAGCACAGAAAGAGGAGGCCATTGCTAAATCTACAAAGAAAAGGAGATAAAACCTTCTTAGGTATGTTAGTGATAGAAAGTAAACATACGATGGGATCACTAAAATGAAAACTGGGCACAACACTTATGCTGAGGGAGACCTGGATGTAACAAACCACTTAAACAATGACTTTTGTTCAGTCTTCTCAGAAAATAAATTATACTAACAATAATAAGTTGGGAAATCATATTGGTTCTAGCAATGATGGAACATTTTTAGGATTTCCGGAGACAGAGGTAGCAGAGGAAACTGGTTTGATTAAAGATTAATAAAGCAAAAGGCCCTCACGGATCATCCCAGAGTTCTGAGAGGACTTCGAGGTTTAGTTGTTGGACCATTAACTGATCTTTTTAATCAATCTCTTCTAACAGGAGAAGTTCCCCGTGACTGGCAGACAACTAATATTGTACCGATCCACAAGAAGGGCAGTAAGGTAGAAGCTGGCAATTACAGGCCAGTGAGTCTAACATCGGTTGTAGTCAAGTTAATGGAATCACTCCTGAAAGGAAGGATCATTGATCACCTAAAATCACACAACTTGCTGGATCCAAAGCAGCATGGCTTTACTGAGGGGAGATCATAGCAGACTCATCTGATTGGAATTTTTGATTATATTACCAATGTTTTGGACTGGGGTGGTGCTGTGGACATGGCATATCTTGATCTTAGCAAGGAATGTGATACAGTTCCACATAACGATCTAATACAAAAGTTGTACAAGCTAGGACTTAGCCCTTGTGTGGTTCAGTGGATATGCAGCTGGCTAAAGGATAGATTCCAGAGTGTGACTGTAAATGGGTTCACTCAGAAAAGAGACCAGTTACTAGTGTACCACAAGGCTCTGTACTAGGTCCTGTTCTACAGTATCTCCCAGAAGTGAGCCCCCCCTCACATTTTTGTAAAGATTGTATTCTATCTTTTCACATGACAACACTGAAGAAATGACACTTTGCTACAATGTGACGTAGTCAGTGTAGCTTGTATAACATGGAAATTTGCTGTCCCCTCAAAATAATTCAACACAGCGCCATTAATGTCTAAACTGCTGGCAAAAAAAGTGAGTACACCCTAAGTGGAAAGGTCCAAATTGGACCCAAAGTGTCAATATTTTGTGTGTGGCCGCCATTATTTTCCAGCACTGCCTTAACCCTCTTGGCATGGAGGTCACCAGAGCTTCACAGGTTGCCACTGGAGTCCTCTTCTACTCCTCCATGAGGACATCACGGAGCTGGTGCATGTTAGAGACCTTGTGCTCCTCCACCTTCTATTTGAGGAGGTGCCCCACAGATGCTCAATAGGGTTTAGGTCTGGAGACATGGTTGGCCAGTCCATCACCTTCACCCTCAGCTTCTTTAGCAAGGCAGTGGTGGTCTTGGAGGTGTTTTTGGGGTCATTATCATGTTGGAATACTGCCCTACGGCCCAGTCTCCGAAGGGAGGGGATCATGGTCTGCTTCAGAATGTCACTGTACATGTTGGCATTCATTGACCCCTCAATGAACTGTAGCCCCCCAGTGCCAGCAGCATTCATGCAGCCCCAGACCATGACACCCCCACCACCATGCTTGACTATAGGCAAGACACACTTGTCTTTGTACTCCTCACCTGGTTGCTACCACACACGCCTGACACCATCTGAACCCATCTTATCTTGGTCTCATCAGACCACAGGACATGGATCCATGTCCTTAGTCTGCTTGGATGACTTGTGCATCATCTTTGCAGACTTCCTTTTGATGCATGCAGACCAATTTAATGTGTGTGGCGTATGGTCTGAGCACTGACAGGCTGACCCCCCCACCCCTTCACCCTCTGCAGCAATGCTGGCAGTACTTGTATGTCTATTTCCCAAAGAGAACCTCTGGATATGACGCTGAGCACGTGCACTCAACTTCTTTGGTCCACCATGGTGAGGCCTGTTCTGAGTGGAACCTGTCCTGTTAAACCACTGTATGATTTTGGCCACCGTGCTGCAGCTCAGTTTCAGGGTCTTGGTCTTGGCAATCTTCTTATAGCCTAGGTTATCTTTCTTTAGAGCAACGTAGAGCAATAATTCTTTTTTTTGCAAATCTTCAGAGAGTTCTTTGCTATGAGGTGCCATGCTGAACTTCCAGTGACCAGTATGAGAGAGTAAGAGTGATAACACCAAATTTAAACACACTGCTCCCCATTCACACTGCAGACCTTGATACACTAACAAGAGTCACATAATACCGGGGAGGGAAAATGGCTAATTGGGCCCAATTTGGACCTTGTCACTTACGGGGTGGACTCACTTTTGTTGCCAGCGGTTTAGACATTGATGGCGGTGTGTTGAGTTGAGTTATTTTGAGGGGACAGCAAATTTACATGTTATACAAGCTGTACACTGACTACGTCACATTGTAGCAAAGTGTAATTTCTTCAGTGTTGTCACAAAGAGAGAGAATCAAAGATTTACAAAATGTGAGGGGGGGACTCACTTCTGTGAGATACTGTGTATATATATATATATATATATATATATATATATATACATGCATTGTATACAGTCCGGGGGAGGGGTGGACTCACTTTGGGAGATACTGTATGTAAGTGACAGAACTAAAGGGTTGTTGGGTGAGGTATGTTTTTTGCTGATGACACAAAGGTGTGTAATAGAGAGGATATCCATGGAGGTGTCTGTAACATGGAACAGGATTTGGCATTGCTGGAAGATTGGTAAAAAAAGTGGAAATTGCACTTCAATGTTTCTAAATGTAAAATAATGCACCTAGGGAAAAACAATCCCTTGAAAGAGTACAACATTGGGGGTGCAGTGTTAGCCAGCACTTCAGAGTAAAAGGATTTGGGGGTGCTTAATTCAGATAGTTGCAAAATGAGCAAACAGTGTGGCCAGGTAGTGAGGAAAGCAAATAGAGTTCTTGGATGCATCACTAGAGGGGTCACCGGCAGGAGGAAGGAGGTCCCGATTCCTCTATATAGATCTTTATATCACTAGAGGGGTCACCGGCAGGAGGAAGGAGGTCCTGATTCCTCTATATAGATCTTTATATCACTAGAGGGGTCACCGGGAGGGGAGGAAGGAGGTCCTGATTTCCTGTATATAGATCTTTATATCACTAGAGGGGTCACAAGCAGGAGCAAGGAGGTCCTGATTCCTCTATATAGATCTTTATATCACTAGATTGTAAGCTCGTAAGAGTAGGGGCCCTCTTACCCCTCGTATATAGTCTGTCTTATATGTACTAGATGTATTGTCCCCCCTATTGTACAGGCTGGAAACCCTTTGGCGCTATTAAACTCTAATAATAATAATAATAATAATAATCAATAGAGGGATCACCAGCAGGAGGAAGGAGGTCCTGATCCCTCTATATAGATCTTTATATCACTAGAGGGGTCACCGGCAGGAGGAAGGAGGTCCTGATTCCTCTATATAGATCTTTATATCACTAGAGGGATCACCGGCAGGAGGAAGGAGGTCCCGATTCCTCTTTATAGATCTTTATATTACTAGAGGGGATCACCGGCAGGAAGGAAGGAGGTCCTGATTCCTCTATATAGATCTTTATATCACTAGAGGGGTCACCGGCAGGAGGAAGGAGGTCCCGATTCCTCACTAGAGGGATCACCAGGGGTCAGGGCAGGAAGGAGGTCCTGATTCCTCTATATTCAGTAGATCTTTATATCACTAGAGGGGTCACTGGCAGAAGGAAGGAGGTCCTGATTCCTCTATATAGATCTTTATATCACTAGAGGGGTCATCGGCAGGAGGAAGGAGGTCCTGATTCCTCTATATAGATTTTATATCACAAGAGGGGTCACCGGCAGGAGGAAGGAAGGAGGTCCTGATTCCTCTATATAGATCTTTATATCACAAGAGGGGTCACCGGCAGGAGGAAGGAGGTCCTGATTCCTCTATATAGATCCTATCACTAGAGGGGTCACCGGCAGGAGGAAGGAGGACCTGATTCCTCTATATAGATCTTTATATCACTAGAGGGGTCACCGGCAGGAGGAAGGAGGTCCCTGATTCCTCTATATAGATCTTTAGTTAGACCTCATTTAGAGTACTGTGTCCAGTTCTGGAGACCTCACTTACATGAAGAAATTGATAAGATAGAACAAGTCCAGAGATGGGGAACAAAAAGGGTGAAATGTCTGAGGGCTAAAACATATCATGAGTGACTTCAGGAACTTAACATGTACAGTCTGGAGGAAAGAAGGGAAAGGGGAGACTTGACTGAAACCTCTAAATACATCAAAGGGGTGAATAAGGTTCAGGAGGGCAGGATTTTCAACAAGAAACCAAAATCAGGAACACGAGGACATGACCTCCAACTAACTGTAGGAAAATTCAAACTAGTCTCAGAAAGTACTATTTTACTGACAGAGTAGTCGATGCTTGGAATAAACTGCCAGCATAGACAGTGAGCCAGTCAACAGTAAATAGCTTCAAACAGATCTATACAAAAAAAGTTAACAAACCAAAAAACAAACATAACCCCCCCCCCAAAAAAAAAAAAAAAAACAGGCGGAAAATTGAACCGCTCAGTCTTTTTCTGCAGTCACTTTTCTATGTTTCTATGAAGATGATGGTTGGAGAAGCTGTGAAATGTTTTCATTATAACAGAACAAGTCCAGCTAAATGGGACTAACTAGTACTGGTGATGATCGGTGTTTTTATTTGCCATCTCCTCTGCCACCTTCCTTGGTCTTTGAAATCTACATCTCTCCAAACACTAATACCATGAATTGTATAATAATCTGCCCGAGTGAGAAGAGAGCTGACTGTGTGCCAGTGATATATTCAGGCAATGGCCACTGATAGAAGAATCTTATGGACAGTTGGTGATAAGGGGGGTGATAGTCATGGTGATGTATTTTGGTAATGACCACCTATGGAAGAGGCCAATGGACAGTTGGTGATATGAAGGGTGATGGTCATGAAGATGTATTCTGGCAATGACCACCAATAGAAAAGTCTTATAGAGATGGGTGTGATATTTTGGTAATGACCACACAATAGAAGTGATCATGGATGATCATGATGGATGATGTATTCTGGCAATGACCACCTGTAGAAGAATATTATGGACAGTTGGTGATCGGAGGGTGATGGTCATGGTGATGTATTCTGGCAATGAGCACCAATAGAAGCGTCTTATGGACAGTTGGTGATAGGAAAAGTGATGGCCATGGTGATGCATTCTGGCAATGACTACCAATGGAAGAGTCTTACGGACAGTTGGTGATTTGGAGGGGGATGGTCATGGAGATGGAGGGATGGATTCTGGTACATATCTGCACATTTATAAATAGCTCCTTAGCACTTCTACATTCTGTGACAGTTCGGAGATTAGATGTAATTGATAAAAAGACGCTCACAGTTGTGGCACAACAGAGAAATGAGATGGACAATCACTATTTGGAGGCACAACCACACAAAACTACATTTGTTCTCTTTGGTCAGAAAAGAGACACAAAGATAATTGTAGACATTCCTACACTCACACCGCACAGGCAGACTGCTGATTTGAGCCTCAGTTGCTTTATAAATGTTCTCACTTTGTTCTCTCCCAACCCTCCCCAGGTTACCTGCTTTCTGAGCGCTCCTCCGGGCAGACTTGGTGTCCTCCTCCATGTTGTCTCTGCTCTCATATGATGTTCTGTGCTCTCTCCGGCTGGAGGGGAAGAGGTAAAGAGAACCGAGAGCTCCTCTGTGGTCAGCCATGTACGGGGACAGAACAAGAGTGTGACGTCTATTAGAGATGATGGGGCTGATTTTCTAAATAAGGAAAGGAAATAAAGAAATACTGGAGGATCACATGAGAGTGCCAACACAACCCCCGCATCTCTCTAGCAGATGTACAGAGATGTCCAATGTGTACGGAGCGGTATTAGTTTGCTGTTTGTGTAGAACATCCAAATAATGCTGCTTGCATTTCATGCATGAAGGTAAAAAAAACTTCTCTGTGCAGCAGCCCCCCCAGCACCCCCTAATACTCACCTACGCCCCCTCTCGATCCAGCAATGTGCACTGGATTCTCAGCTATCCCTCTCCTCAATCACAGCCAGCGAGCCAATGAGGAGAAAGAGAGGACGGGACCAAGCCATGGCTCTGTGTGAGAATGGACACATGTAGTAGAGGGTGCCCCCATAGAAAGCTGCTGGTGAGGAGGCACCCAACAGGAGGGAGGAGCAAGTAGCGCCAGTGGGGGGACCTGAGATAAGGACACTCTCTTCCCTGACGAGCACCCAATCAGTGCTCATTACACTGCAAGGTCTCTTTCCTCCCTGCTATTTCCCGGGTGCAGTGCTGGAGACAGGAGGGGGGTGAGGAGGGGATAAACAGCACATATTAAATATTAAAAGTTTAAGTTGCCATAAAACCCCTTTTGTTTTCAAAAGCCCCAGACATTCCTGAAAGCAACTCAGATTTAATTACGATTTTAGTTAAAAAAAAATTATTTTTATCTGGACAAGTAGATTGTCATGAGAGACCACTTGGGACACGGATTTAGTCCCTGGACAAGTAGTTTTTTTTCAAAAATGTCCACACCCCTGAAGGACTAAATTCTATCTTATACAGTATATAGAAGGACATATATCATATAAAGAAGTGGATGGCAGTATATGGGAGTCATTATATAAACATTCCAGTATATGGAGGATACGTGGAAAAATACAAAAACGTGAAATGACTTGTTATGGGTTGTGGCACCCTGTGCTGACATGACAGGGCCATTTACACTGATTAGAGGAACCTGGACATGTATTCCTCTAATTATGACCAGAAGGCACCTGGTCCCTTGCTGAATGGTCTCTTGGCGTTGTCATCCTTCTAGTGCTGGCATTGGGCAGCATACACATGTAGGCAGATGGAAGTGAGAGTTTCCCTTTATCTCTAGTCACCCCCCTTAGTAGGTGGGCTGGTAGCTATTGCCCGGCTATCTTTATATTTAGTTGGAAGAGTTCAATTCTCTTTCTTTGGATGCCTGCAGCAGTAGAGAAAAATGCCTGGCCAGAGTGAGAGCGCCCCCCCCCCCAACCCTAGAACTTGGGTTAGAGTCCTATGGCCTGGGACGGACTCCCAATGGGACACTGAGTGGGTAGACC